CTGTTCTTAGTCGCACATTGGCTATTCCAGCGCGTCTTTCGCACATCCGTGCGAAAGTGATAAAAGGCGTGTCCACCCCAAAATACTGTAGTCGCCTTACCACGCCAAAACAAAATAGTAGCCCTAGAGAAAGCAGCGTGCAAAGAAGAAGGAAAAAAAAAGACAAGAAAAGTAAGAAAAAGAAAAAAAGCAGGTGAAAGAAGCTGCGCTTCGACGGCTTTTTCTTTCTTCTTTTTCTTTGGAATTCTTCTCTCTCGGTCGTCCGCTGAAATTTGCTGTTCCTTTCCCTCTTTCGCATTTTCCTTCAGAATCTCTTCTGTCTCTTTTTTTCATTTTTCACTTTTATAATTCCTGATTCTTTTCTTCTTCGTTTTTTCCATTGCTTGGCTTGGTGCTTTCTCTTTGTCTCCTCCTCCACGATCTTCCTGCCTGTAGGGGTGCCGGGGAGAATTGAGGAGAGGAGGGTGGGTGGGGGGTCTCAATAAGCAAGTGGTAAGACAGAAAAGAAAAGACAAAAAAAAAAAAAAAAAAAAACAAACGACAGTGTCGTATCATTTAAATTATTTTGGACTTCGCTGCCTATTGGCGAGCATGCGTGACGTGAAAGTGTACATCACAGAGACTTTTTTTTTCCTGCTCCTCCTCCGCTCCTCCTCCGCTCCTCCTCCTCCTCCTCGTCGTCGTCGACGTCCTCCTCCTTCCTCATTGCACCCCTTTCTTCCTCCTCTTCCTCCTCTTCCTCCTCTTCCTCCTTCTTCTTCCTCTCCCCCTTCTTCTTTTTCTTCCTCCTCCTCCTCTTCCTCCTCCTGCTACCGTCCTCGCCCTTCTTCTTCTGCTTCTTCTACTTCTTCTTCTTCCTCCTCCTCCTGCTACCGTCCTGGTCCGCCATCTCTTTCTTTTTCTTCTTCGTCTTCGTTCTTCCTCCTCCTCCTCCTCCTCCTCCTCCTCCTCCGGCTACTGTCGTGGAGCGCAACCGATCGAAACGCGCCGGGGGGAATGTGCGCGGAAGCTGAGATTAGTATGCGCGGCGATGTATGGCATTGAAGAGCTTTGGAAGCGTGTACGAAAGGCAGTTGGCCCCTGTTTTCACTTATTCCTCCTCCTCCTGCTGCTGCTACCGTCCTCGTCCTTCTTCTCAAAGACTGCTTCTCGCACATGCTTCAACAGATAAATAGACATTACATCTCCGCATTCACAGTTCTCAGTAGAAACGCGCATATTTTACTCCCAACTTGTTACGGCCGGCTTGCGCTCCTCGCGCTCCTCGCGGGGGCTTCTCCCGAGATCGCCTTGCGGCACCACCAACTGAAGCATTTGCGAGAAGCAGTCTATGGCTACTGTTCCACTATTCTTCTTCTTCCCCATCCGATTTTTCTGTTTGGCCTTTGGCCACCTCCTCCTCCTCCTCCTCCTCCTCCTCCTCCTCCTCGTCTTCCTTGTGGCCCTTGTTTCCAGTCGGTAGTGCCAATGATGACGTGGTACTACTGGGTAGGCTGTGCGGGTAGCTGGGACAGATAGGAGGTGGGCGATGGCGATGGCGATGATGCTGAGGGCAATGGCAAGAAGAGCGGGCAAATGATGGCCCATGGATCATGATACCTTCCATAGCAGACGGACGACCAGCCGTGGGACTGCTTCTACGTAGCCGACGGCGCATGCTTCCCCTTCTCCCTCCCCCCCCTCCTCATTGATCGGATCGGCAAAGGCGAGTTGTTTGGGAGGAGAAGGGTGGGTGGGTGGAGGGGGGGGGGGAAGGCATGCACAGAAGGAAACGCAGAGAAGCGGATGGATGGGTGAGGGTGGGGACACCATGTTCCCCAACCAGAGAGAGAGAGGAGGGGGGGGGAGTGGATAGTGGATTAGGTGTAATAGAGTGGATATGGTGAGAAAGGAGCGAGGAGCAAGCGGTCATGAGATTCTATATGAGAGTGGATGAGGCTACCGTCGTCCCCCGAACACAACGCACCCTGATACCGAATGTACTACAAGCTATCTTCACGATCTGGTACAGCCAAAATGAGGGTGCGTTGTGTTCGGGGGATATCATCGTTCGCGATATAGGAACCTGAAGCTGGGAGAGATGCGCCAAGATATTCGACCCAACCCCTTGTCGTATTCCCCCCAACATTACGCGCCCTCATCATGACTGTAGAAGGGAGAGAGGTTATGGGTGTTGTAGGAGGGAGAACGGGGAAAAGCTGGGGGCAACATAGGTAGTAGTAGAGGAGAAGCCGGGGGGGGGG